TCTGGCCCCACAACCCGCGGCCTGCCGCGTCCCCGCCCTCCCGTCGTATCCCTCCGCCTCTGCCTCTCTTTAGAGCAGAGTAGCGCCACTAGTGAAATACGGCACCCGCTCTTACACTCCTTCGTTGACTTTTCGGCCAGCCCGAGGCGGACCGTTCCGTCCGGTTGTCTCTTAGGACTCTTTCTCCCTGTAGGTTAGTTCCCGAAGGGAGGCGGAGAGACACGCATAGGTGATGCGTCCTTTTGGAATTTTTGGCGCGTGCAAAGTTGGAAGACTGTTTTACCCGGCTCTGATTGGCTACAAGAAAGGCGCTCAGCAGCCCGCCCCAGTGTTTCCCGCTGAAATGGGACTGAGTCAAATGCCCGTCCCTTAAAGGGACACTGCCCGTGTTTCAGACAGCTGTTCCTCAATCACAGAGCAAGAGCCCGGCGTGGGGCAGCTGCAGTCCTTACAAGAGCCTACGGTAAAGGACCTGGCTTTTGTGTGATCTGCTAGGACCTGTGACATCTGCAGTCCAACTTTTTAATATTTGTAGCAACAAGCTCTTTTTTTAAAAAAACAAGGACCTAAAGTTAGACTCCCATTCCACTTTTTAACACCTGGATTATGGTTTGATTTTTAAAAATAGTGGACACCCCAAAACTCGTATTGGGGGAGGTTTGGGCATTGATTTAGTAAGCAGCCCATCTGTAAATTCCTTATTTTAGAAAATATTGATCTTTGGCTATCCTAGGCCCATCTTGGGGACATAACTCTAGTAGCTAGCATATTCCATCACAGGAGTGCAATAATCACATTTTGACTCCAAAATAAACTGTTTAAGCAAAGTCCTGCCCCCACTTCCTCTATTTTGCTTCCCACTGCCAGTGCAATAAGCCAAATAGAAGTTTAGAATATTAAGATTTCATTCTCTCAAAAAGTTTAAAATCATGCAAAGTTTAGCACACTTCAATAAAAAGTAAGTTGTGTGCTACAAAGCTCATAGCCAAACAGCCAAAATGCTGATGTGATCTCAGTCATAAAAAATTGAGAACTTGCTGTAGTTTTGATGTGACACCATTTTACAGAAGTGTCACGGCCTGGAAATAAATTAAGAAATGTTTTGTGGTGCTAGGGGAAAAAATGTCAAACTTTCTACACAGTCCCTCCTGAAGGTAGTCCTGCCCATTGCCAAACTATGGGGTAAGACATAATAGCTACTAGACAAATGTACAGCACTTTTGCACAACAACGAATACAGCTTTTTAATATCAAAAGTATTTTACATTATTAAACCTCCTGACTTTGTGTGGTGCTACCTGTAAAAACACTGTATAAAAGTATGCTGTTTTGTGTGTTGTATGGCCAGGAGATTAAAGTCCCTTGTGCAGCCACTGGTTTTGCCAGGGTATGCAAGTTTCCACAGGTTTTCAGGACTTTAAATGGGCTTGATCTCTTTCCACTAATTTAACAAAAAGACAACTAGAAATGGATATATTGAACTTGAAATAGCTTTAGTCTGTAAAGTGCTACTAGACTATTTCTTGATTTTTAAGTCTTTCCTGTTACAGACTAACTTGGCTATCTCTCTAAAGCCGTGGTCCCCACCATGGCGCCCGCGGGGGCATTCGTGTGCGCCCGCCACGTGCTCGGGGCTGGCCTGGCCCTGGGCACGTGGTGCACGCACAGTGCCGGAGCCGGCTCCAGGCGCATGGTGAGCGCCGGCCCCGGGCGCTTGGGGGGGGGGAGGAGGGAGCGCCGGCCCCGGGCGCTTGGGGGGGGGGAGGAGGGAGCGCCGGCCCCGGGCGCTTGGGGGGGGGGAGGAGGGAGCGCCGGCCCCGGGCGCTTGGGGGGGGGGAGGAGGGAGCGCCGGCCCCGGGCGCACGGAGCTTGGGGGGGAGGGGGCTCCGGCCCCGGGCGCATGGCTATGGGGGGACCCCGCCCCCATCCCCGCCCCCTGGCGCCCAGCGGGCGAACTGCCACGCCCCCTGGCGCCCGGCAACCTCCACAGGTTGGGGACCACTGCTCTAAAGCTTATCTACTCACTGTCACATTTTTTCTGCCCCTCCTTTTTTTTCTTCTCCTCCCCCCTCCCTTATTTATTCTTGGATATGAATTTCCAACACTCTGGTCATCTGAAGAAGTGGGTTGTGCCCACAAAAGCGACATCTACATGTACCATCTACATATTTTCCTAGTCTTTAAGGTGCTACTGAACTATTTGTTGTTTTTTAAGGTTTTCCTGTTACAGACAAACTCTGCTACCCCTCTGAAGCTTTTGAAATAGCTGTTTGGCCTTGTACATTTAAGACAAAAAATACTTCTCTGGGGATGTTTTCTATGCACTTTGAGAACAGGTTTCCTTTTCATCCCCAGCATTTTCCTGTGGCTCATGTTCAGCCTTTCCCTCACTAACAGGTGCAGATTTAATTAATCTTCCCTTTTCATCAGCTAGCCCAGCCCAGCCCTGCCCTCTTGTCAAGGCTTGTTCTGGTCTCTCCCTCCCTTCCATTGTAAGTTCAGGATCTCACCTCCCCACTCAAACCCCCTCTCCTTTGTTTTGGCAGCCTCTGGATCATCTCATTAAGCTAAAACGTCCCTTTTGCTCATCCTGACTCAAATTTTGCAACCTATTCTGGGTTAAAAAATTCCCTTTTCCCACCCTTCTGATTCAACTTGACCCCTTCTCTCCTGCCTTTGATGTAACATGGTGGGGTTTAATAGAGCAATTAGAAGCTTATCTTGTTTCGTATCCAAGATAAAACCCCTCCCTCCTGCCTGCCTGAGCTCCTAGTCATAGGAAAGCACTAACATCCGGATTTCCTTGGGGGAAGAAATTGCTTGTAACTCACTAACTTCCGGCATAAACACTTCCTGAGCGAGCCGGTGCTTTATACAGCTGGGGGAGGTGTATGAGCCTATTAGCCTATTAAACCCAGCACTCCCATATCTCTGGATGAGGGTCGCATATGGAACAGACAGAAGTAGGAGCTGCAGGTTACCAGCCAGCTGTCCCTGCTCGGCATGCTTGTGTGTATACCAGCTGCTATTGGTAAGTAGTAATAGGTATGTAAGAAATGTGGCTGGGTAAATCTTCTTTTTCATTAGTCAAGGAATTAATGCACAAAGAGTGGATGTACTGAAAGTCATTGTTTTCCATTGGAATCTCCCCTATTTCCATTTTTCTTTAGAAAACTTGTACATACTCTTGCAGGAGGCAAAGCAGAAGAAAATGAGGTCATAACAGCCTGGAGATAGAATATTATTTTTCTTATGATAGCATTTGATATTCTAGGAAAAAAGGATGCATTGGTTAGGACACTCATAGTACTGGTTAACCAAGATGATTGGAGGATGATTTACTGACAAATAACAATATACAGGATCATTGTATGGCTTTCTGAATAGCTTATCAGAACATAATTTATGGTTCCATTAATAATTTGTGCATCCTGTCCTATTATCAGTGACAGTTTATTTAGAATTGTGCAAAACTATTAATAGTAGTATTAAATGTTATATACACGATTATTACTTTAGAATTGTGCTAAACTATTATATATATATATATAAAATTAATATGTCACTAAGATCAGATGGAAGTCTATTTAAAATTTTATATTTGTCAAGTTGTTTCATACACTTGATGACATGTATCTTTCCAGGTAAAATGTTTATTTAACCTAATTTGTTGACACTTTAATCAAAACTACTTTGCCACAAACAGTAAGGAAAAGACAAAACACTAACTATACCAATCATTTGGTATTAAAGCATGTCATGACAGAGTAAACCAAGCTATGCTTCTTGCTGTCTAATAGTAGAGCCAAAAAAACCTATGAATTATTTGTGTAAAACCTTTTTAAAGGCTTGAACCTACATTTTAGAGCTTAAAAATACATGTGTGAAAGGAGCTGGGAAAAAGTCTTCAACAGAAAAATGAATCCAAAAGTGGGAAAGTTATAACAGCCATGCTGTTTTTATTGTATAAATCAGAAATAAAACAAGAACTGGGGACAAAAAAAACCTTGTATTTTTACAGTGAGGAAAATGTTTGGAAACTTTGTGAATACATCAGAAGCTATGATCAATATCCTTTAGAAGAATTTTTTGCTGTTTTCATATCCAATGAAAGAAGGATGGTAAGTTGATAAGTTGCCTTATTGAATCAAAACCGATTTACTGTGAATGAAAGATGGATCCAGGCTAGGTTTGCCATGTGTCCAGTTTTGAGCTTTCTGTCTAGGAAACAAATTGAGAAAATACCGGACATATAAATGTCTGGTATTTTCTAATTAAGTAAGTTTTATTATTATCATGAGTAACAATACATAGTTGCATACTGCCTGGCTCGTAGACACACTCACACTGTGTGAGTGTGTCTATTGGCCAGGCAGTATGCAACTACACAGTAGAGAGGAGGTGGGTGGTGCCAGGTTGGGATGGAATCCCTAGGGCCGGACTTACCTGTGCACCCTGCCAAGACCGTGTGCGGGACGGGCAGCACCCCGGGATCTCCGTGCACCCGGGCCAGCCCCGCTTCCCGCTGGCCGGTTTCCCCTTCTCTCCCTCCTGGTCAGCCCTGCTTCCTGTAACTGGTCCCTCATCCCCAATGTGAGATCATGTATGTCCGGTATTTTTCTGAAACACTCTGGTAACCCTAATCCAGGCACAAATGTGGCCAGACCCCTGTAGCTCACCTGGGCCCCCTGGTCACACAGATATTGAAAAGAACCTAAAAGGCACGTCTTTTAGTCATGTATGGTAGTCTGTCCCTTGGGGTGGACATCTGGAGAAGTATCACCTCCCTGAGAATGGGATAGCAGGGATTCCTTTATTACTATCAGTCAGCGGAGGAGACTGAATGGTCTGTGTGATCCAAAACAATGCCCAAAGTTTAAGCTCAAAAGTTAAAAAACAATCTGATAAAAGCTTACGTGTTGCATCACAGATAAACACTAATTTTATCATCTCATATTAGACAAATTGTAGATTTTTTTTTTTAAAGCTTACTTAACATTAGCTTCTAACTGGTAATTTGCAGATACCACTGTGGAAGCAACAATCAGGACGTGGAGATGAACCTGTGATTTGGGTAAGACATTCTGGTCTATATAGATTCTTGTACCATGTTTAATTGTTCTAGTACTACCAACATGTTAAGCAATAAAAATAATCAGACTTCACCAACCTGTTAGAATTCTTTGAAGGTGTCAGCAAATGAGGGTGATCCAGTGTATGTAGTGTACCAGAACCTTCAGAAAGTCTTTGACAAGGTCCTTCACCAAAATCTCTTAAGCAGGGATGCTGAAAGCTTCTGAGGGCCTCTGGGCAAGGGGGGTGAGAGCAGTGGCTGTGCACTCTGGGAAGGGATGGGTCTTGGACAGAAGGGGTGGGGCTTGAGAAGCCAGCTCTCAGTGCCCCCCTCCTCTGCCTTCAGAGCCACCTGGTGTGCCAATTTAAAGGGAATTACTGAGCCCAGGGCAACAACTCCCTTTGCCTGCTCTTAAGCAAAGTAAGGAGTAACTGAATACTTTCATGTATCAATAACTTGGCCACTAAGAATGCTGTTGTATGGCAAATAGTCAAACTAAATAAAATTAAATAGTAACAGGTTAAAAGATAGGAAACAAAAGCTGGAAACAGTTTTCAAGTGGAAAAAGGGAAATGGCAAGGTTTTCCAAGGATCTGTACTGTGACCAATGCGGTTCAACAAGGGTTGAACAATGAAGTGTTGAACTTTGAAAATGATACAAAATAACTATCTTCAGTCAAGTCCAAAGATAACTATGAAGAATCTCCCAAAACTGGTGACCGAACAAGAAAATGGCAGATGAAATTCAGCATTAACAAATGTGCAAAGCATTAGAAAAAAGAATCCTGACTCTACATACATAAAGACAGGGTCTAAATCTGTTACCACTCAAGAAAAATCTTGGAATCATTGTGGATATTGCTCTGCAGCTGAGTGTGCAGCAGCAGTCTAAAAAAGCTAACAATGATAGGACCCATAAGGCATACGATACATAGGACAGAATATCACCATATCACTATATAAATCCACAGTCTAGTCATGCTTTGATTATTGTGTGCAATTCTGACTGCCCTATTTAAAAATATTAAAATTGGAAGACTTATAGAAAAGGGCAACAAAAATAATTAGGGATATGAAACAGCTTCTGTAAGAAAACAGAATAAAAAAACCGGGGGCTGTTCAGTTTATATAGATGATTAAGGAAGGGAGGATATGATAGAAGTGAGAAATCATGAACTGTATAGAGGAAGTGAATAAGAAAGTGGTATTGACACCTGGTTTATGTGTTATGTGAAGGGGTAATTTGATGGAAATTACAGTAAAACTCCAATTGTCCGGCATCCTGTGGTCCGGAACTCCCAATAGTCCGGCACCAACTGGAACCCGGAAGTGCTCCGGCCAGCCGGACAACTGGAGCTGCTCGCGCAGCTTCCCCAAGTTTGCTGCTGCCGCTGCTGAAACTGACCAGCTGTGGACCTGGGGAAGTGGTGCGGAGCAGCTGGGGTGCTGCCGGGTTGGTCCTGCAGCGCCGCCCCTCACTCCCCTGCTCGGTGCCTGGCAGCACCTCAGCTGCTCTGCCCCATGGCTTGGCTTCCCCAAGCCCACCGCTGGTCAGTTTC